GAGGGGGGGGCGGTGTCGGGATCTGTAGTTCTGGAGAGGGGGGGGGCGGTGTCGGGATCTGTAGTTCTGGAGAGGGGGGGGCGGTGTCGGGATCTGTAGTTCTGGAGAGGGGGGGGGGGGTGTCGGGATCTGTAGTTCTGGAGAGGGGGGGGGGGGTGTCGGGATCTGTAGTTCTGGAGGGGGGGGGGGTGTCGGGATCTGTAATTCTGGAGGGGGGGGGGAGAGATGACGGGATCTGTAACTTGCACTTAGTGACACTTGAATGCCATGATGTTGACCAATGACCATGGAGCAATGTTTTGATCAGGAATGATTGATTAGTTGGCTTGTGGATTGTAACTGACCAATCAGTAGACTGCAATGTGATGAAATGGTGTTCCGGGATGGGAAGGTGTTGGGAAGCTGTGTGCAGACATCCTTTCTGTCATAACATAGGAGCCGAATGACAAACTATTTCCAGGAATTAGAATTCCAAGCTGTGGATGTTGGTATTGTGCGTTCTGTGCGCAGCGTTCTGTGCGTTGTTTAGGTGCTTCATTGGTGAAATATTTGTCTTGGCCATGTATACTGTACACTACCCAAGGTTCACACCTATGCAGTTTGCATTGGATCTGTTTCTGCAGTGCTTTTAGCGGTGCGTTTTTGTACATCCATTTTTGGTGCGTTTCTTTTTCATGTTGGTAGGCAGATTGAAACATAAAACGCATCAAACGCACTCCATGCTTTTCTGCAGTGTATCCAGTGACGTCTATAGAACCAAAAACGCAACTTTTTGCATTTTAAATAGGTCCCTGACCCTTTCCAAAAAACGCACTGGGGGAAAACGCGGAGATGTAAATTTGTCCCGTAGGAGATCATGTTAAATGGACTGTAGTGTGTTTCTGAAAAATCAACGGAAACCGCTTAGGTGTGAACCGAGACTTAATGTTTCTTTACTGTCTGCTTCTTGTGTGTGCTTTTGTCGCTCAGAATTGCATAAGAATGGAAATCGTATTGTTTCATTGATGTTCATGCAAAATCAATGCGGCTCTGGAAAAGGTTCCTGTACTGCTTTGGTGCGATTTTGGCCCCATAGAATTTGCAAATCACATCCAAAATGTAACAGTCATGCTGCGTAATTGCACTGAAAATCAGATGGCAGTTGCCTTAATCCAGCCACAAATCAATATTCAGTCAGTTTAGGAGGGTCCAGCCACGTTTTGCTCCATGTATGGACGAGCTGGTTGGACACAAGCAGGGTGGATTTGATTTAAATCACTAGTCAGTAAGGCTTGATTTAAATCCTAGTTTTCTACATAAAGACTAATTCTTGCTGGTATAACTTTAATATGCAAGTAGATGAAGATTTTTAGAATAACAACTTTTCATATTAGTTTTTTTATCCCCAGTTTAATAGATTAATCATTCATATTTGGACAACTTTTCTGTTGTATTTAGGAAGGAGAAAAATAATCATTACCTTAATAATAACAATCTAAACAGATTTATTCAACTGAAACAATAACATTCCAGCATATGTGATTTGCTTAAACATCCATGTTTGTTAACTAATTTGGCTAAACAAAATATATATATTTTAAGAAACTTAGACTGTCAGCCCCTCCTCCTCACACTTAGCTTCACTTTCTTCTTGTGCAGATCTATTCCACTCCAAACAATCAGAAAAATATTGTTTCTATTCTATTCACTGACCTTCTTGAAACTTATCACTGAAGGGGTTGATTCTGTATTCATAGGTTTGTAGAAGTTAGGATGAAGGTCTTTTTCTTAACTCTGTTCATGTTATAACATTTTTGCTGTGAAGAAGAGGCATGTGATCTCCGCTGAGTCAAATTCAGTTTTGAGAACTGCAAAGTAAACCAATCATCTGTGATAATATCTTGTAGGCAGAGAAACTGCCCAATAATCTTACAAAAACCTCTGGAAGAGCATGACATTGTGAATGGATTCATGGAATTTATTTACCAAAAAAATTAAACCTATACAGCCTTATTCTACATAATTAAAAAACGAATCTTTATTTCATGATGGAATAACCTTTGGATGGTAATATATTTTCCTCAAAAAGCATTTTATTCAAAAAAATCAGATTTAAATAAAAAAAAATCTGATTTTTTTTTTTGATTTTTTTTAAAAAAAAAAATCATTGATTTTTATCCACCCTGTACACGAGTCAATCCATCGATCGATTTGCGTACTACCAGCCCACTGAGTTTTCCCTAACAGTCAGCGCTGCCCACTATATAGCCTGTACCACTGATTCTGGCTGCCAGGAAGACTCCCCATCAGCAGGATATAATAGCACAGCGGGAGTGATTCCCCATCCATCTCAAATGTGTGGATGGGGGAATTGGCTCACTTTTTTTTTTTTTTTTTTTTCTTCCGTTCAGCTCACTGGTTGAAAGTAGAAAAAAAATGAATCTTGTTTGGGCTGCCTTAGTTTGCCGTTCATAATTTCCTGTCTAAAATGAGTCTCCTTCAGTTGTCCAACTAAACACTGTTCTGTACAAGTCTGAGCTTGGGTTCACATGTGTGGATCAGTTTGCAGCATGATTTCAAGCCCCATTCGGTGCGACCTTGTTCAGCAGTTCTGGTGCAAATTGTTAGTGCATGACATTGGAAATCACACCTGAATCGGGCTGAAATTTGTGCTAGACTATGAAATCACAGTGCAGCTAGCCCGCACATATGTGAACCGGCTCCATAGCAAAGCCTTTTGGTTCACGTCATGCGAAGTTCGAAACTCATCCTATTCGCATTTATGTGAACCAGGCGAATGTCTCTGCAATTGCTTGTCCTGTGTACTTAAAAGGATTACCTATAGTGAGTGAAATATGGGGGGTCCACTCGGTTTGTGTTTTGCTGCCCTAGTTTTGTAGGGAGATTTTCTCAGGGCTAATAGAACAAAGTAACTTTGTAGACGGTCCCTGAGGTGAGACTTTTCAGAACAAGGACCACAGTGTACATTTTACAAATAGGACAGCACAGTGGCTAAATGGTTAGCACTTCCGCCTGACAGTACTGGGGTCGCTTTTTCGAATCCTGACCACGGCACCACCTGCCTGGAGTTTGCATGTTCTCCCTGTGTGGGTTTCCTCCAGGTACTCTAGTTTCCTCGCACACTCCAAAGACATGCTGGTAGGTTTCTTGGGTCTGTCTAAATTGGCCCTTGTATATGAATGTGAGTTAGGGACCTTATATTGTACACCCCTTGAGGGTCAGGGACTGATGTGAATGTACAATATATATGTAAAGTGCTGTGTAAATTGACGGCGTTATATAAGTACCTAAAATACATAAAATAATCACAAGCAAAAAAAATTCCTCATCAGAATCTGTCCCCATCCCTCCTGCTTTGGGCGTCTGCTTTTACATCAGAATCCCCCCTTACATCCGAGGTGGAAATCGTAGGCAGTCTCTGCTGGCCTTAACCCTTAATCAGTGCACACGGAGGATAAGATGCTGATCCTAGCTGTGGGTCAGATAAAATCTTCCAGCAGGTCGCAGTTTGGAGACGCCTGGTCTACAGGAAGTCAGGATGGATAAAAATCATTAATTTTGTTTTAAAAAAAAAAAAAAAATCGGATATTTTTGATTTATATAAAATTTATTTTGATAAAATGCTTTTGGAATTAAAAAAGAGTTAGACTTACCGCTAACTCCTTTTCTAGGAGTCTTCCAGGACAGCCCCTTGAGATGTAGGGCTCCTCCCTCTGGGACAGGAAACACGTAAGCCCCGAACCTTAAGAACTACAGGAAGGTACTAAGACATAAACATACATTACTGTACATGGTTGTCACCCCTCCCTTTGCCAGCATATTAGTCATGGAAGTAGATGCCAACACCATCTGATCCTGTATTATACTTGAATAAAGATGGCATCGGCCCTCTGTAGACTATGGAAAATGTAGGCATTGCATGGAATGTAGTCCTGTGAGCCAGCTCTACCCTCCTGCATTGCATGTTCCTTGGCAGCACGTTTGCTTGCAACACATCTGATTGGCTCTCCATTTTGTCTTCCCCTCCCAGTCTGTGGTAGAATGCAGATGTACTTGCAGGAGGCTGATACAAATTCATATACAGAAATACCTCGGTTTAAGAATTTAATTCGTTCTGCAGGACTTTTCTTATAGCGAAAAATTCTTAAACCGAAACGCCGTTTCCCATAGGAATGCATTGAAAACCAATTAATCTGTTCCGGAGATCAGAAAAAAGTGAACACTAATAAATACCGCATGAGTTGTTTTATCAAGTCATGCGGCATTTTAGTAGTGACAACTATGTGTTAATATTTCAGCTGTCAGAGGGGTTCCCCACTGACAGCTGAATGTAAAAGAATTGCCGGCAATTAAAATTTTTTTTAAAAAACTGCGTGGGGTCCCCCTTCCCATCCATATCAAGCTTCGTGTCTGGTATGGATTTTGAGGGGAACTCCCACGCCAAAGTTTAAAAGAAAATGGCGTGGGGGTCCTCCTCAAAATCCATACCAGACCCTTTTCAGAGCATGCAGCCTGGCAGGTCAGGAAGGGGGGGTGCAGGCAGGCAAACAAACAATGTTTCTTTTTAGTTTCTTAAAAAAAACATTTCCATTAACTTTGAGGAAAGTGACAGCTAATTCTGTGAGCTATTGTGAAGAAAAAAAAAAAAAGCCAGCAATTGCATTTAAAAATCAGCACTGACATACACTTCGTATTGCGAAAAAAATTCATTAAATATTTGTAAACCGAGGCATTATTTTCAGTGGATTTTCATTTGTAAACCGAAAATTACTTTAACCGAGGCGTTCTTAAACCGAGGTATTACTGTACTTTACTTTTCGTATACTTACATATTCATTAAAAAATAAAATTGTAAGTTAATAGCTACCTGGATTTTATTCTCTGCCTGAAGTTCTGCTGTAAAAAGTTGGACAATTTTTTTTTGCTTGTTAATATAATAAAATCCATTTTCTGTCTGCAGTGTTTGTGAATTCTCACCTGGTGACCTTGTTTGGGCCAAGATGCCAGGTCATCCCTGGTGGCCATCTTTAGTTTACAACCACCCCAAGGAAGACACTTACTTCAGAGGAAAGGGCAAGTCTCTTCATGTTCATGTGCAGTTCTTTGATGACCCACCATCTAGAGGATGGATAGGTGCGAACTATGTGAAAAATTACTCAGGTAAGATCTTCAAGTACTGAGGAGTTTGGTGTATAAACACTTGTACATGTAGACCCATTATGCTGGATTTGGTGGTCCATGGGCAGACTAGTGGGCAGTGGTGAGAGAAGAGCATGTTAACCCCTTCCTGTACACCCTGGCATCTCTTTGAATTTTACAGGGGGTGGGAAGGATCAGCGAACATGTGACCATTGATTTGGTTGTCACAGTGGTTACATGATCAGGAGTCGGTCCTGCTGGCTACTGATTGTTTGGGACTGAGCTGTCTTTGGCAGCTTGGTCTCTCTGATGTGAGCGCTCTGCTAGCTGTGCAGCTTGTGGGCATTAAAGCCCATCCTTTTGCCACCGCACATGTTACTCAGGCTGCAACAGGTTAATCATGTACATACCACATTCATTTTATTAGTGCAGCAGAAAGCTGGAAACGGCTTGTCTAATTTTCCTCCTTGTACACTTAAAAGAGCAGCATGGGATTTCGTTTTTCTTTTTAAAAAAAAAAAAATCATACTTACCTAGGTGGATGCAGCATCAGTCCCCTGCCGGCTTTAAGTGTGAGAACTTGGCAATCACATGAGTTCTTGCAGCCGCTCTGAGCAGAGAGCAGGGGATCGCTGGGAGGCTGAGCCAGGTGCTGCTCCGGACTCTGGGGTGGATCCCGACTTTAAAGTCGGAATCTTTCCCCAACCTGGACTAGCCGAATTACATCAGCTGACAGTGGAAAAGGTAAGTCTGGGTCCACTTTAATTCTGAAAATAGTGACATTGCTATAGTTATTACCATTACTGTAATTTCAATTCTTATTACATTTTATGTACAGCTGTACTTGCAACTTCTTATTTCATACAAATGCTGTTTGTGTATAGTTTGCTCATTATAAAAAATGTATAGTAAATGTATTACCATTACTTTTGTACATTTTAGAAATATAGCTTCCTTCCCTTTTGCTTATGTCAGTACCCTAATGGAATAGTTTTTTAAAATGTTACTAAATCCCGGACCCTGCATTCACTATATCGGTCTCCCCGGACCCTGCAGTCACTATATCTGGTCTCCCCGGACCCTGCAGTCACTATATCTGGTCTCCCCGGACCCTGCAGTCACTATATCTGGTCTCCCCGGACCCTGCAGTCACTATATCTGGTCTCCCCGGACCCTGGTCACTATATCCGGTCTCCCCGGACCCTGCATTCACTATATCGGTCTCCCCGGACCCTGCATTCACTATATCCGGTCTCCCCGGACCCTGCATTCACTATATCCGGTCTCCCCGGACCCTGCATTCACTATATCCGGTCTCCCCGGACCCTGCATTCACTATATCCGGTCTCCCCGGACCCTGCATTCACTATATCCGGTCTCCCCGGACCCTGCATTCACTATATCCGGTCTCCCCGGACCCTGCATTCACTATATCTGGTCTCCCCGGACCCTGCATTCACTATATCTGGTCTCCCCGGACCCTGCATTCACTATATCTGGTCTCCCCGGGCAGTCACTATATCTGGTCTCCCCGGACCCTGCAGTCACTATATCTGGTCTCCCCGGACCCTGCAGTCACTATATCTGGTCTCCCCGGACCCTGCAGTCACTATATCTGGTCTCCCCGGACCCTGCAGTCACTATATCTGGTCTCCCCGGACCCTGCAGTCACTATATCTGGTCTCCCCGGACCCTGCAGTCACTATATCTGGTCTCCTCGGACCCTGCAGTCACTATATCTGGTCTCCCCGGACCCTGCAGTCACTATATCTGGTCTCCCACAGTACACACAATATGGAAATGCAATTATTTTAGTAAATATAAACTGCTAAATTCCTTTTCTCATCAGCAGTTAGAGCAGTCTTGTGACTTCAGTAGGGCACTGGTTAAAGCTTGTAGGAGGAGTTTTCTTTCACATCTAGGAGGATGTGAAACCCCTGACCCTCTGTCTGGACAGTGCTGATTAGTCCTGTGCTGATCACATGCCCCCTCCCAAGAAAGAAAAAACCTCTGTAGCAATACAAACCAAACTGTACATGTGACTACAGATTCAGTCTGTATCGGGTGGACATTTCAACAAGAGGAGGGGCAGAGAAGACAGGATCAAACAGCCGTCTAACACAATGTGGAGGATTAACCCCTTAGGTTCCACAGTGAGTATAACAAGCATGCTTTGCTGCATATACAGACTGATTTTACTGTTGGGGTTTAGTAACACTTTAAAAATACTGATTAGTACATTGATGTTGGTCATTATATTATGGTGGTTATAAATTCTGTTTTAGGAGTTTATCATATCTGGTATATAAAAGGGGGGGGACAAAACCTTTACAAGTATTTGCCTAATTATTGTACATTTTGTAGGAGTTTCTTGTTAACGTAAAATAGACACATACTTGGAAAGCAATATGACAGGTTGTGTCAAAACTGTGTGCCTTCCAAAATGAAATTGTATGTAATTCAGTTGCAGATGAGAGGCAACATAACTCCGTTTCTTTGCACATAAACACATTGCTTATTATTGCCAGTTGACTGATGGAGTAGAAGTCAGCACCAAGCCTTTCCAATACATCCTTGTCTATACTGCTGTACATGGACCATGTATTTTACTTTTTTTTTTTTTTTTTTGCTCTTCTTTGTGTCTTTTAGGTTCCTATGCTGCAGACGCCAAAAAAGGGGGAATGTTTTTTAGTACCAGGCTGGAAATAACTAAAGCAATGAAAATGGCAGATGATGCATTGAAAACCGAAAAGGATAACAGACTTGCACTGGCTGTTTGCACAGAACCTTCTGATTCTGAGGAGGAAATGGAGGTAAAAAAAAAACCCAACGGGACAAAAATTATCAAGATGTTTGTTTCCTCCCAGCAACTGTGTTACACAGATGTGTGCTGATTTTTTATTTATTTAATTTTTTTTGCTGCTACACACTACCAATATTTTTTTCTTCCCTGATAAAAATGCTGCACTTCAGAGATGAACTACAATCCAAATTATTATTAATAGTAAATACATTGAATACAATTTTCTGTGTGGTGTAATTTCACAGAACTCTAATGTACCTCACTGTTGGGGCTCTATTAGAACTAGCAAGTGTGCCTCTCCTGAGCACTAGAGGAATTGTGATTGCCAAAATTGAGTACTTTCACTAAAGAACTAAAATATTCCCTTGCTTTTTATTTATTAAACCGTCTGTCTGTCTGTCTTGTCAGTGCTAACCGTTCAGAGATCAAATTTCTTGGGTTGTGTGGGGTTTTTTTTGGTGGGGGGGGGTGGTGTTGTGTTTGTACATGTTTCTGCCACAAATATTTTTTGAGGTCGTTGGATCAGATCTTTTTGCATTTCTTCTGTCTTGCATGTGCTATTTAGTAAATTCTGAAAGGGTTTTGGTCTAAGGCCCCTTTCACACAGGCGGATCGATCAAGTCCATCTGTCCGTTTTTTTTTTTTAAGTGGACCCTATCGGACCCTCCATTATCCTCTATGGAGTGGTGGATGTAAACAGACTTGTGTCCGTTTGCACCCGTCTACATCGATCCTAGCCGCTATAAACACAGATGGGTATACATTCCCTTTTGCCTAGCAGATCAGCTGGCAGTCGGGTGTAAACGCACAGGTGGTCTGTTTACATCGGACTGTCCATAGAGGACAGCATGCTCTGTCTGTGTCCGCTCTGCATAAGTGGAGCATACACAGACCAGCCATCTGCCTGCTCAGTGGGGATCAGCAGACAGATTCCCCATAGAGTCTGTACTGTGTTTGATTTTGAAGTTTTGTATATATATTTTGATACAGCTCTGCTCTGAAATGTGTAAATCATGTGACCCACTAATGGCTTTCATTTCATTCAGCCTGTCATGTGACAGTATTTTTTGACACCTGATTCCAATGAGCTTATTTGGAAGTTGGCATTTTAGTTTTTTGGAAATAATCTGGAAACTTACAGGTCTTTTTTTTCTTCCACATTCTGGTCTATTGTGTAGATTAGACATCTAAAATCCCAGGTAAAAGTAAATATTGAGTACAGAAGTATGTGTTTGCAGTTTTATGCTTGCTTTCCGGTGCTTTTCGTGGAAGCACTTGCTAATGGTGTGACTTAACAATTTTCATCAGGTGGAGGAGAGTTCTACTGTAAGTGATGGAGAAACGCCAGAAAGAAAATCAAACCGACCAGCTCGTCAAAGTAAGAGTAATGGGAAGAGCAAGAGGAGAAGAATAATGATTGCGTCTGATAGTGAAGATGAGTGTTCTGATGACGAGTTCAGCCTGATGAAGCCTGATGAAAAGGATTCTGGGAGCAGTGATGAGGCAAGCAGCGGTGTGGACGAAGGGGCGATTTCTTCATCAGAGAATGAAGCGGAGGAAGACAGTCCAGTAAAGGTTCCTGTCAAACGCAAGCGAGGTGCTGGTACTTCCAAGACTCCAGCTTCTAAAAAGAGTCTGCAAAATGAGATTTCAGAAACGCCAAAAAGAACAAGCAATGTATCTGCAGAGGTCAAATTAAAGCTGTCCTCTTTCTCTGCCCCAGAATCCTTTGAGTCTCAGTCAGCTGCAGGTGCTGCTGGGGGTGTTACCGTTTGGGAACATGAAAAGTTTGAATGGCAGCAGGATGGGCGGAGAAAAGATGCCAATCGCAGAAAACAGAGCGATGAAAATTATGACCCAACAACACTGTATGTTCCAGATGACTTCCTCAATAAATGCACACCAGGAGTGAGGAAATGGTGGCAGCTCAAATCTCAAAACTTTGACACCGTCATATTCTACAAAGTTGGGAAGTTCTATGAACTGTACCACATGGATGCTGTTATTGGTGTCAATGAATTGGGTTTGACCTTCATGAAAGGAGCTTGGGCTCACTCTGGTTTTCCGGAGATTGCTTTCGGACGTTTCTCTGATGTACTTCGTACAGAAAGGATACAAAGTAGCCAGGGTAGAGCAGACAGAAACCCCAGAGATGATGGAGGCACGTTGCAAGTCCTTGTCTCATCCAACCAAATATGATCGAGTGGTACGGAGGGAAATATGTCGAATTATTACAAAGGGGACCCAGACCTACAGTGTTCTTGATGGAAACCCCTCCGAAAGTCATAGTAAATATCTTTTGAGCTTTAAGGAAAAGGCAGATGATTCCTCTGGGCATCAAAGAATATATGGTGTGTGCTTTGTGGACACCTCAGTGGGCAAATTTCACATTGGTCAGTTTCACGACGATCGCCATTGTTCACGGTTCAGGACTCTAGTAGCCCACTTTCCTCCGGTTCAGATATTGTTTGAAAAGGGCAACCCTTCATCTGACACAAAGAAGGTTCTTAAAAGCGGTTTGTCCACAGCAATTCAAGAGGGTTTGCAGCCTACCTCTCAGTTTTGGGATGGCACAAAATCACTAAAGACCTTGGCTGAGGGAGGTTACTTTGTGAAAGAAGGCAAAGGTGACCATGATGATGGAACCTTGCCCCCGTTATTAAGAACATGACTTCAGACAGCGACTCGCTGGCACTTACCCCTGGAGATAAGAGTGAGCTGGCTCTTTCTGCTCTTGGGGCATGCATTTTTTACATGAAAAAATGTCTAATCGATCAGGAGCTGCTCTCTATGGGCAACTTCGAAGAGTATGTTCCTGTTGACATGGACATTGAAAAAGCCACAAGCTCAACCAGTTTCTTTGCTAAAACCAGTCAGCGAATGGTTCTTGATGGGGTAACACTAACCAATCTAGAACTGTTACAGAATGGGACGAATGGGTCCACCGAAGGCACACTACTGGAAAAACTAGACACATGCTTTACTCCTTTTGGAAAACGCCTCTTAAAACAGTGGCTTTGCGCACCCCTGTGCAATCCTTATTCAATTAACGATCGCCTAGATGCACTGGAAGATCTCATGGCTATCCCAGAAAAACTGACTGAAGTGGGAGATCTCCTGAAAAAACTTCCAGATCTGGAGAGACTACTGAGCAAAATTCACAGCATTGGCTCACCGCTGAAAAGCCAGAACCATCCAGACAGCCGAGCTGTAATGTACGAGGAGACCACGTACAGTAAAAAGAAGATTGCAGATTTCCTTTCTGCCCTGGAAGGTTTTAAGGTGATGCGTGAAGTCATCATGGTCATGGACGATGCTGTTGATGGTTTTAAGTCCAATATCCTCAAGCAGGTTTTGGCTCTTAAAGATAAACATCCTAAAGGTCGATTCCCAGACTTATCATCTGAACTGAAGAGATGGGACACTTCATTCGATCATGAGAAGGCTAGAAAAACTGGGGTGATTACCCCTAAAGCTGGCTTTGACCCTGACTATGACGAAGCACTGAGAGATATCAAGACTGCAGAGCAGAATCTTACAGACTATCTGGAGAAACAACGCAAGAGGCTTGGGTGTAAAAGTATAGTTTACTGGGGTACGGCAAAGAATCGCTACCAAATGGAAATACCAGAGAGTGTAACGGAGCGCAATTTACCAGAGGAGTACGAACTCAAATCCACCAAGAAGGGCTACAAACGTTACTGGACCAAGACTATTGAGAAGCTTTTTGGTGACCTGGTGAATGCAGAGGAGCGCAGGGACGCAGCACTTAAAGACTGCATGAGGAGGTTGTTTTACAACTTCGATAAAAACTGCAAAGAGTGGCAGACAGCCGTAGAATGCTTTGCTGTGCTTGGTAAGTTTTTTTTTTAACCAGTTTGGCTCTAGAGCAATTTTTTTTATTGTCTGAAAAAGTTGTCTACAGAACCGCACTCCATAAACGTACACTGTGGGGCTTATCCCCTCCCCCACTCTCCTCACTGCATTTGATTAACTGCAGCAAATCGCTCCTGCTGCTGGAGTGCTGTAATAAATTAATAAATGAAACACCTGGCATTACATTTTAAAGAGGAGTTCCACTCACGCTGTCAAAAAATAAGTCAGCAGCTACAGAAACTGTAGCTGCTGACTTTTTAAAAAACACATACTCACCTGTCCCTCTGTCCCCCGCGGTGTGTCCCCTGCAGCCCGTTTTACCGGCCGTCTTCTCTCCCTGGGCGCCGGCATCTTCAGTGTGGGCAACTGGCTGTGACAGCTTACGGCTTTACAGCCAGGTACCCACTGCGCATGCGTGAGTAGCGCTGCGCTTCCTGAATGGCCCCGTAGTCTTCTGGGAGCTGTCGCGTGTCCCAAAAGACTATGGGAAGGCAGGACACCTTCCACTTCCTTAGGCGAGCGGAAGTGGGAGTGGGTACCTGTCAAATTCAGGTACCTGCCCCCCAAAGGTGCCAATCCTTAATGGGGAGCGGGGGACCAGTCTTTAAAGCAGAACTTTCCCTTTGGGTGGAGCTCCGCTTTAAGACATTGTAGATATTTGCATTAAAATGATTGACTCCTACTGCTGTCAAATCATAGCCCATGAGGAGGGAGCAGGGGGTGGAGCCCTTGGACACACAGAATCAGCTTGGAAGTGAGCACACAAGTTCCCACAAAGCAATTGGCTTGCTATGGGGGCACTCAGTGGGGGGGAGCCAAGAGTGCCAGTGGGGCACACAAGCAGGAGGATTAGGGCTGCTCTGTGCAAAACCATTACACAAAGCAGGTATTATTATTTGTTTATTTAAAAAAAAAAAACTAAATAAAACCTGTTCCTTTTACAATCACCTTAAACTGATCCTGTACACATTCTTTTTGCAGATGTCCTCATGTGTTTTGCTCAGTACAGCCGTGGTGGTGATGGACCAGTTAGTAGGCCTGTCATAGCTTTGCCTGATGATACGTCACCTTTTTTGGAGCTTAGAGGGTCCCGTCACCCCTGTATTACAAAAACCTTTTTTGGAGATGACTTTATTCCAAACGATGTTGTGATTGGTTGCAAGGAAGAGGACTGCGATGAGGACAATAATGGCGCCAGCTGCGTACTCGTGACGGGTCCTAATATGGGTGGGAAATCCACTCTGCTCAGACAAGTAAGCAAGACACATTGATACGTATAGGAATCAACTGGGTTTCTACTAAAATACAATCGTATGTACATAGTTAGTCTCGCTGAAAAAAGACAAAGGTACATCCAGTTCAACCATTAAAAAATAAATAAAAAAGTTATAATCCTACACACAGTTGATCCAGAGGAATGCAAAAAAACCCAGCAAAGCACGATCCAATTTGCTCCTGCAGGAAAAAAATCCTTCCTGACCCCTCAAAATCCTGTAATATAAATGGTATAATAGATCTGATTTTAGGAGGAGATGAGTGTGTAAACATTGTGATTATTTTTGCCCTCTAGGCTGGTCTCCTGGTGGTCATGGCACAGCTGGGATGTTATGTACCTGCTGAGGTCTGTAGATTGACTCCTGTGGACAGAGTGTTTACACGACTGGGAGCGTCAGACAGGATCATGGCAGGTAACGTCTTTTAACCCAGATTACAGGTCCTCTGACAACCACATTTTTACCAAGTAGCTTCAGCTGGGCTCCAATGTTTAAATAACCCACAATCTATTAATGATATAAATATAATTCCATGGGAAGATATAGAAAGATACCTCTAACCAAGTGCCATTAGAAGTGTATGGTGTGCAGGTACATTTGGGTGGAGACATTGTGTATGATCAGGGATCTACAAAGGGCCAGTGTACTGTCCCTCAGACTTTAGGGGGACTGGACTGTGGGATTAGACCGTGCCTCAGGCTTGGTGGTTAGTAATAATAATCAAAGTATTTTTAGAAAAGCGCCACACCCCTAAATCTCTAAAGCAGCAGATTCCTACTTCAAAAAATCAAAAAAATAATTTTTTGCTCAAACAAATAAATATAAGGAATGCGCTAAATATTTATATATTTATTTAGCGCATTCCTTATATTTATTTGTTTGAGCAAAAAATTATTTTTTTGATTTAGTAATAATACCTCATTGTTGGTGTAAGTTGGAGAAATAGTGCCCCATCTTTGGTGCCAGAGGAATGATTAATTCTCCATCATTGGTGTCAGTTGGAGAATAATCCCCCATTATTGTTGATAGAGGGCAGAAGAGTGCTGGCCTTTCTCCGGCCCTTAGGACAAAGACAGGCTGCTGTACACTTGCAGGCTGCAGCATTGTTTCTCTGCTCACAGTGAGAACTGATACTTTGTTTCTATTGTTTAGGATGTGATTGTTGTGACTGGACATAGCAGTAATGTGATCTGGTAAAATACTGTGTGATCACCCAGACACAACCGTAATGTGATCCACTGTGTCTGGGTGATACTAGGGGAAAAAAAAAAAAGATATACCTGTGTTCAAACCCCAGTAGCTAGTAAATGCATGTACAAGCTATTGAGATTTGAGCACAGGTATATCTTGGTTGTTGTGTTGGGTCAGTAGCCAGGCCCAGACCTGGTAGCTTTCCCCCCACTTTGTCTTTTCCCTTATGTTGGCATTGTGTCCACAGTAGCATAGGCAGAGTAGGACTGGCCATAGAGGGATTATTGTGACGCAGTTGGCCGGCTTAAGCATGTATTGCAATATGTGTGAACCTAGTGTGCAGAGGGTCTTTCAGAATGATTGGGTGATACTAGGATCGCTGGGCTCCCAGGTGTGTGCTCTGTGAGCCACCGATGTGGACTGACATACAGGTACATTATCCTGCATCAGCACTGCTTCCCATCCGCCATTTATAGGCAGTTCAGTCATTTTCATTTACAGCATTTTGAAATCCATGTGATGCTGATGGTGTAACTCAACAAGCAGTTCTGATCTCTGTATCAAATAAGAACCAGCATAGTCCTAGGCCTTCTAGTACAGCTTCTACAGTACAGCACAGCCTGCTCCCCGTTTTATAATGGTTTCTCTTTGTGTATGAACCTCCTAGTTTTTTTTTTTTTTTTTTTTTGTAGTAAAGTAATTTTTGCATATTGCTTTTGAGCATTTTTATAATGATGCATTTCCCCCCTCCAAGGTGAAAGTACATTTTTTGTGGAGTTGAGTGAAACCTCCAGCATACTTCAGCATGCAACAGAACATTCCCTTGTGCTTCTGGATGAACTTGGTATGTCACTGTTACTTCCCCCGCCTTTAAGTGTATGAAAAGTGTTCTGTTAATTTACTACCCCACCACCTTCCACTGCAATGTACAGTTGTGTTCAGAATAATAGCAGTCAGACATCACTAACCGGATCAATCACTGTTTTTGGTAGAAATGATATTTCTACATGGCAAATAATTTCCTAGCAGGTGTAGTAGAGTAATAGAAATCCAACAGACCCAACAGTCATGACATGCATGCTGCTGATTCTGTGTAATTGAATCACTCATTGAAAGGGGCATGTTCAAAATAATAGCAGTGTGGAGTTCTATTAGTGAGGTCATTCAGTCTGTGAAAAAACAGGTGGTCCTTATATACTTTAGGTTCACACTGTAGCTGTGCGGTAAATCCCATGTGATTTTCACAGGAACCGCACCACATTCCTGTACAAATCACATGCGATTTGTGTGCGGTGTGATCAGAGCCTTACATTTTGTATGGATCTAATCGCACCACACCAAAAACGTGCAGGACCCTTTTTTTGGTCCGCACTAGAATCTGATCGCATTTTGCGGACCGATGTTGGGGTGTTGTTAACTTAATATACACACCCGCATCGGTTCTTATGAACAAGGTGCGATTCTGATGCGGTGCGGAATTTGCACTGAAACCGCTGCGAATTCCGGACTGCATCAGTGTGAACCAGGGCTCAAGGATGAAGGTAGCAAATGTTGTACATGCTGGTTACAGTGCATTTCTCTGAAAATCTTAGTAAAATGGGTTGTTCCAGACATTTTTCAGAAGAACAGCGTACCTTGATTAAAAAGTTGATTGGAGAGGGAAAAACATATAAAGAAGTGCAGAAAATGATAGGCTGCTCAGCTAAAATGATCGCAAATGCTTTAAAATGGCAACCAAAACCAGAAAGACGTGAAAGAAAATGGAAAACTACCATTGGAAAGGATGGAGGAATAGACAGAATGAAAGACTCCGCCAATGATCAGCTCTGGGGTGAGCAAAGAAGGTCTGAAGTTACCTGAGAGGACTGTAAATGTAGAAGACGCCTATGTGAAGCCAAGCTATCTGCAAGAAGCCCCCGCAAAGTCCTATCGTTGAAATAAATGATGTGCTGAAGAGGTTACAATTTGCCAAAGAGCACATTGACTGGCCTAAAGAGAAATGGCACAACATTTTGTGGACTGATGAAAGTAAGACAGTGAAGCATGGTGGTGCAAGCATCATATGGGGATGTTTCTCATACTACGGTGTTGGGCCTATTTATCGCATATCGTGGATCAGTTTGAATACATCAGAATACTTGAAGAGGTCATGCTGCCTTATGCTGAAGAGGAAATGCCCTTGAAATGGGTGTTCCAACAAGACAACGACCCCAAACACACCAGTAAGTGAGCAGCATCTTGGTTCCAGACCAACAAGATTGATGTTATGGAGTGGCCAGCCCAATCCCCGGATCTTCATTCAATAGAAAAATGCTGTTTGAGGTAAAACAAGAGATGCAGAGGAATGGTGGAAGGCAGTGCAATCATCCTGTCCTGGAATACCTGGTCACAGGTGGCAGACGTTGGTCGACTCCATGTAACACAGATGTGAAGTCGTTCTCGGACGCTGTGCTTATACAACTAAATAGTCAGTGATTCGTGGGAAAGCTAAATCTTCACACATTTTTCAGTTTATACAGTAAATGTTTGAGTTTTGTAACGAAACTAATTTGAAGCCTTTTTCTTTGTTTTGATTTGGAATAGAATGTGCAGTGTCCCCAATACATCTGTGTATGGAAATAAAAGCTATTGTAAGGATTTGAGCTTTACTTACCTTTTTTAACCCCTTTGTGCCGGCGCCTCCTGGCCCTTTTTAAGAGGTTTCAGAAGCGGGGGGGGTCAGGTTTTAGGGTCATGTGACCGTCGTGATTTGCGGTCACATGATTGAAAGGGGAGATTGGGGCCTTTCCATGAGTCACGGACATATGTTCTGGTAGCATGCAGGGCGTGCGCTCTCAGCACATTTGTATTTTCAAATGGTACGCAAATATGCGGCCCAGGTGCCGAGAGGCGTCATATTTGTGTGCGCTTGGCATCTAGGAGTTGCACACTGCTATTATTTTTAACACCACTGTACCTGGTGCTCTCTGACCGGGTTTCACATATATGGGTGTGACATGAAACCTGGTATAAAAGGTAGACTTGAATACTGATTCTTTGACCTTTTTTCCAAGTAGGGAGCAGAGTCCCCTTTATAAGATGAATACATTCTAATCTATAGGTCGTGGCACGGCTACATTCGATGGAACAGCTATAGCTAGTGCTGTTGTAAAAGAACTCTCTGAAAGGACCAGATGCCGCACGTTGTTTTCAACACACTACCACTCCTTGGTGGAGGATTACTCCCACACACCCGCGGTACGGCTTGGTCATATGGTGAGTGAGATTTGCAGCCAAAACAGGGAAGAACTTCTCTGGAAATCTTTCATTGTTCTTGATTTATACATTGTATTTTCTTTTAGGCCTGTATGGTTGAAAACGAGTGTGAAGATCCCAGCCAGGAGACCATTACTTTCCTATACAAGTTTATCCAGGGGGCCTGTCCAAAAAGCTATGGATTCAATGCAGCAAGACTGGCTAATATACCAGATGATATCATTCAGACGGGTCACAGAAAAGCAAGGGAGTTTGAAAGCATCATGCTGTCTGTGAAGATATTCAGGTATTAATATACAGGATTTATATAGCGCCAACCGTTTACGCAGCGCTTTACAATATATAGGAACTAGGTTGGCAATGTCTTAGGGTTTGCAAGCGCAGAAAACGGTTTTCTCCACCACCCATCAAAATGCAGGCACTGAGGGCTGTATAGATGCAGCAGAAATGAAATCCCGTCATGCTGGTCAGGCACTACAGCTGCCAAATGTGACCAATATCAGCAAATGCCACAACTGTATGCAATGTACAGAGCGGTATTTTGGCAGTCACCCATTCCCTGTAAAGTGATCCACTGGGTTTTATTTTCGGGTCCTTTACAGTGTTCATCAGTATAGGCACCTCCACCTGGCATGTGCTGTACAGTGGATATAAAAAAAAGTCTCTGCACACCCGTTTAAAATGTCAGGTTTCTGTGATGTAAGAAAATGAGACAAAGCTAAATAATTTCAGAACTTTTTCCACCTTTTTAGTGTGACCTATAAACTGTAAAGTCGAACAACAAACTGAAATCTTTTAGGTGGAGGGAAGTAAAAATAAAAAAAATATGGTTGCATAAGTGTGCACACCCTTTAAATACCTAGTTGAAGCACCTTTTTGATGTGATTCCAGTACTCAGTCTTTTTGGGTATGCATCTATCAGCAAGGCACATCCCGACGGCAATATTTGCCCGCTCTTCCTTGCAAAAACACTCCAAATCTGTCAGATTGTGAGGACATCTCCTGTGCACAGCCCTCTTCAGATCACCCCACAGTTTTCCGATTGGATTCAGGTCTGGGCTCTGGCTGGGCCATTCCAAAACGTGAATCTTCTTCTGGTGAAGCTATTCCTTTGTTGATTTGGATGTATGCTTTGGGTCGTTGTCATGCTGATAGATGAAGCTGGGTTTCTTTTGCCTTCCTCTGGATCTACTGTGCTTATAGGAATAACTTTTTTTTTTCTATGGTTGAACTGGATGGACTTTTGTCATTTTTCAGCCAGACTAACTATGTGGCTATGTAAGTTCCTCTTCATGTTCAACTTTCTAGCAGAAGCCTGAAGGTTTTGTGCCAATATTGACTGGTATTTGGAACTGTTCATAATTGCCTCTACCTTGACTAAGGCCCCAGTTCCACTGAAGAAAAACTGTCCCAAAGTATGATACTGCCACCACCATGCTTCACGGTGGGTATGGTGTTCTTTTGGTGATGTGCAGTGTTGTTTTTGCACCAAACATATCTTTTGGAATTATGGCCAAAAGGTTCAACCTTGGTTTCATCAGACCAGAACACATTTTCCACATGCTTTTGGGAGACTTCCGCTGTGTTTTTGCAAAATTTAGCCAGGCTTGGAAGAAAAGGCTTCCATCTTACCACTCTACCCCATAGCCCAGACATATGAAGAATACAGGAGATTGTTGTCACATGTACCACACAGCCAGTACTTGCCAGATATTCCTGCAGCTCCTTTAATGTTGCTGTAGGCCTCTCAGCAGCCTCCTAGACCAGTTTTCTTCTTGTCTTTTCATCAATTTTGGAGGGACGTCCAGTTCTTGGTAATGTCCCTGTTGCGCCACATTATCTCCACTTGATGAGTACTTCACTGTGTTCCATGGTATATCTGATGCCATAGAAATTCTTTTGTACCCTTCTCCTTAAAATACATTTTAATAATGAGATCCCTCTGATGCTTTGGAAGCTCTCTGCGGACCATGGCTTTTGCTGTAGGATGCGACTAAGAAAATGTCAGAAAAGACCTATTAGAACAGCTGAACTTTATTTGGGGCTAATCAGAGGCACTTTAACCACTTGCCGCCCTGCCACTGTAGAAATACGGCGTCAGGGCGGCACGGGCAGGCAAAACCACGTTTTAAAACGTGTGTTTTGTAAACAGATAGGGCGGCGGCGCGCCTCCTATCTGTCCCGCCGATCACCGCGCTGCGGATGTCAGTCGCCGGGTCACAGCCGGTCCCCTCACACAGATAACCCTTCCCTGCAAAATAAAGTGAACCCCTTCCTCCCCAGTGCCATTAGTACAGTGTCAGTGTTTTGTTTTTGGGGATGTCAGTGACCCCAAGTCAGTACCCCCCAGTGTCAGAATGTCTGCCGCAGTCCCGCCATAATTCGCTGATCGCCGCCATAATTAGTATAAAAAAAAAAAACTAAAAATCCCAGTATCTTTCCCGCCATTTGTAAACGCTATAACTTTCACGTAAACCAATTAATTTACACGTATTGGTTTTGGTTTTTTTTTTTTAGCAAAGACATGTCGCAGAATGCATTTTGGCAGAAATTTGACTAAATTTGATTTTTGCATTTTTTTTTTTTTTTTTTTTTTTACTGGACATGTTTTATAGCAAAAAGTCCAAAATATTTTTTTTTTCCCTCAAAATTGTTTTTTTTTTTTTTTTTTTTTTTTTTATAGTGCAAAAAATAAAAACCGCACAGGCAATCAAATACCACCAAAAGAAAGCTCAATTTGAGGGAAAAAAAAAGGATGTAAATTTCATTTATGTACCGTATTGCATGACCGCGCAATTGTCGTTAAACTAGCGCAGCGCTGTATAGCAGAAAAATGGCGTAAATTGCAGTATCTATACCATAGTTTTGTAGACGCTATAACTGTCCACACAAAGCAATCAATATACACTTATTGGGATTTTTTTTTTACCAAAAACATGGAGCAGAATACATTTTGGCCTAAATTTATAACCAACTTTGAGTTTACTATATTTTTTTTTTATAGCTGAAAGTAAAAAATATTGTTTTTCTTCAAAATTTTTGGCCTTTTTTTTGTTTATAGCGTGAAAAATAAAAAGCGCAGAGGTGATCAAATACCACCGAAAGAAAGCTCTATTTGTGTGAAAAAAAGGATGTAAATTTCGTTTGGGTGCAGCATTGCATGACCGCGCAATTATCAGTTGAATTAGTGCAGCGCCGAGTAGCAAAAAGAGGCCTGGTCATTAAGGGGGTAAATCCTCTGGAGGTCAAGTGGTTAAATGATGGCAGCTGTGTACTGACTCCTACTTCACACAATTTTGAACGTGAGTGCGTAATTGTGAACACACCTGGTTATAAGAGGGTGTGCACACTTGTGCAACTATATATAAAAATTTTAATGTGTATTTTAACAGGGGTATGTAGAATTATGTCTTTGTAAGTAAAAGCACCCTACAGTATTACCTCAGCTCACGAAAACCTGCTTGTTCTTATGAGGTACTGTAGTTTGCATCATTGGAAAGGCTTAACCATCCATCCTGCAGTCACATGTCCTAGCAATGGGTAATAGATTTAGGACTTTGTTTTTTCAGAGGTCTTCAGGTTAGTAATGTGACGGTTCTCTTGGACCATCTTTGCAGACTGATGCTGTTTGAAGCAGTGTATGTTTGTACACACAGGGTGGCAGGTGGGAAAGCTCTTCTTGGAGGGAGGGGTTGGTAGGGGAGATGAGTATTATGAACAAAGCTGCTATTTTTTGGGGGGGTCATAGCTCCAAGGGTGTTTAAAATGTACGGTTAGTAAAAACATAACTGATCACCCTGTTGCAGTCAGTCTCTGTACAGCAGCTTTGATAATTGTCATTTCTGCACTTTACCTTTTTAGAAATTAGGAAAACTTGAGAATTGTGTCATAAGTTAAAGTCCTGACTAATGCAGGCCATAGATGGGGAGAAAAAACGGCAGATTTTCGGCCGATTAACGAACTATCGGTCGGTCTAAAAAACTTACCTGACCACCAATTATTACGAAAATCGGCCGATTAATGAGTAACCTATAACGGGAAATGTGTCATTTTGTGACCTTCGTGATCCTTTTTCGGAAAACGATCGTTCGTTTTTGACCATCAATGAGGATAAAGTCGGGCGTGTTTTGAAAATTTTCCAACATCACCGATAATCTGAAAGTCCAAAATACACGAAAAACGGCCGACAAAATCGTCCACTAACGATAAGATAATCGGCCGGTTTTATTTTCGGATGAAAAATCGGCCGTTTTTCTCCCCATCTATGGCCTGCATTAGGCTATAGCTTTCTGTACAATACATTGCCAAAATGTCTCTGAGGAATGCGGCTTCTTAGAACAGTCTTTCACAAAAACAAATTAGATAACAGAGATCTCATTTACAAACATTTTGAAGGGGGAAAAAAAAAAAAATTACTTTCACCCCATCTGTGCATTTATATTCAGAGGCACATAACATCCACTGTAAAAAGGCAGGAAACTTGTGTAGCTTATAGCAGAACTATTCTCCAGCAATGTGGCAGTCAGGGGTGGGTAAAGTCACTCCCGTGCAGGAGTTCAGTCAGTATTGCTGACCTTGCATAGTGAGCTGTGTGTGGCTCACGGACTGTACAGGGTGGATAGGCACTCAAGTACCTAATGCGATTACAGCATCTCTTCTGCAGTGAAATGCCTGCCTGTTCACCCATCTCTGACTTTAGCATCAAGTTCCACTTTAAGTTCTGGTTGGGACTTGCAAGCCAAGTCGCACGCTCTTGTCCAGAATTGGTACACTTCTGATGTGGTTGGAGCCACACAGATTTCAAAAGTAGTACATGCACTAGTTTTTGTTCAATTTGCAGACATCGGTATCAGTGGCTCTTGTGACTTACAGTGAAGTTGCATGATTTTAAAGTTGTGCTTGATGTGACTGGAGGGTACTAGGAGAGAGTTAGTGATAAAACAGAATGCCCCAACACCAGTTATTGATAGATCTGTATTTGAGAATATATATTTACTGGTAATTAGTGCAGCACCCAAGTTTTGATGGCATTACAATAGTGTGTACTGTGCAGCAGACAAGGGTATAGAATTGGCAGATGTTCCTTAACAGGAAAGCAAAGGTGATGCCCCAACTTTCAGATATACAATGGGGAGGATCCCTTAAACTGGAAACTACACTGTATCTGAGCACCAAAAATGCTATTTAACTCATTTTTAATATCTAAAGCAAACTTCCCCCATCCAGGCATGGCTCCATGCTTTATTTTGCTGAGAAAACATTTTGAAAAACACTACCTAGCATTTCTGGCTGTGGCCATCTTGAGTAAGGGCAGAGGATTTGTATCATTTACTTCCTGGCATCCATCTGCACCTTAGCTCATGCTGAGCAAAGAAGCCTTCTGCAGACCAGTGGGATGTATGACATTTGGAAAGCAGGAAGTAACTCAAATGTAAAAGGAAGAAAAAAAATACATCTAATATACTTTATTAATGCTTGCAGCAAAAGGATTAGACATAGTCCATGTTTAACAGAGGGAAGTGCAGCTTTAAGGTGGGGTTTCCACCCCCTTGGGCTAGCTATTAAACACAGACTGTAACCTCATTAAAGCAAATGGGGTACCTTCAATTTTGCACCATCCAATCTATGTGGGTGTAGGTAACATTGATACAAAACTATAGATTCCCCAGATGTACCTGTTTTGGTTGGTAAGTAAAGATGGAGTCTCCTAATGCTGACCTTAAAATACTAATTGCCTAGCTATCTCTTTATTTAGACCTGGAAAAAGTACAGCCAGCATGAGTCTCCATACTCTGGGGCAGGGGATAAGTATGGCAGTCAGGCAACTAACACATTTAAGAAAAAAAAACCCCCAAAGGGAGCCAGGCAACTAACATTTTCAAGAAAGGTCAAAAACAAATTTTATTTAAAGGAAGTCTTAAAAACATAACCCTCACAAAACTGAACCATTTTATCTTTCGTTAATACAGTTTCCTTCTTCTTTCTGTACAGGCAGTTGAACACGTTGCTGGAGGAACATACTTGGGATTTGCAAGCGATCAACAAACTACTGGAAATGCTTTAACTTGTTTTAAAAAGCAAAAAAATAAAATACAACAATGTTTTTTGGTGTTTATTCACAAGGCTGGTTTTCACACATTATGATCTAATAAACTTTATTTTTTTAAAAATGACCATATTTCCATTTTTCTTTCCTAGGAAATTAAACCCCTTTTATTTCATACCTACCCTCTACATAATGGTTATTGAATACTCCACAATATATTAAGTCTAGATGTTATGGTACATGCATACACTTTCAGGCTGTTTGATTACCCACTGTCACCAATACATATAAATGGGGGAGAGAAACAAAATTAAAAAGGAAGAGAAACAAAAAAAAAAAAAAAAAAAGCTTTGAAACTCTATATATGCTTGTCTCAGCTTCATAAAGAGCAGGAAATCTGACAATTTCCAGCAGTATACAAGTTCCAGGCTGTTCAAACAAAAAATGAACAGTAACAAACCAGTACAATCTGAGGAGACTACAGTAAACTTTAAACCAAAGTCAACACCCGCCCCATCGCCTAGGGGAGTGATGGAAGCGTACACACGCGCAGCTTCAGCGTCTCCTCACGCAACTGTCCTCGTCCGGGGCAATATGTAAATGAAGACCGTCACGGGGAGGGTACGAGAGGAAAGGAGACAACATTCTAACTTTTCCAAAAGGATACCAGAAAAATTGCTGGATTAAGATTAGTGTTTTTCCTCTTTCATAGAAAGAACATAGATACTGGGACATGAGTACAGTTTTACAGCAATGCTAATGGTGGGCTAACAAAACAGGACACGTTCAAGTACAATAAACTGTGCTTGAAATTAAAAAATAAAAAAAAACAAAACTACATGAGATTAAAGCATTAAAATATCTCATTCTGAATACGTGTTAAAAAAAAAAAAAATCAAAAGAAATGCAGAAGTGCTAGCTCACATTTTACCATGTTACAAAAAGCAATTGGTACCCATGTCCGTGTGTGTTCAGCAGCAACAACAAATGCTGCCTGTCTACAGGATAGAACTACTGCAAATGTGGCTGCCTCTAAGCTGCTGCCTATAGGAACACCAGCAGAGGGCAGCGTCTGTACAAAACAGTAGCTTATTATTTTCTTCACTTCTGTCCTTCCAAAAGTCTTCGAGTAATGCTAAAATAAAAAAGAAAAACAAAATGCCCAGCTCTTCCTTTACATCCTGAGTCAACATATTGCCTCTTCTACTTCCTTTTTTTGGCAAGTGGAGTATGCTCATATCAACATCAGTCTTCCAGAATTGGGCAATTTTTTGTTTTAATTTTTTTTTTCCAAACAAAAAGTTTATAACAGTTAGAATGGCAGGACTTCCCCTTTTTGTAAATAAGTTCAGTTGTGTTGCAATGTATTAGATTCTATAGGTGGAGCAGAGTCATATAATGTATCTGTGTCGTGAGTGGGTTCTCCAGCTAATGTACAAGGATTAGACAGTGTTCCGGCACCACAGTCACAGAAGAACCTAGAGGAGGAAATGAGAGCGTTAGAAAAACCAATCCTAACAATTCACACCAGGGGTGCTCAACCTCAAACCAGGACGCACATGCCCAGTGGTGGCAACCCCTTGATCAATCTGGGCTTGCCGACCTGCCATCCCAGAGCATCAGAGTGCGCAGAGCTGGCAGCAGGGGCCACGTAAGCCGATGCTTCTGCTGTAGCCTCAGCTCCTGTCCCGGGTGACGTGATGCCAAGTCTTCACCCGGAACCATTGTAGCAGCCTAGAGAGCGCTGCCAGACGCAAATATATTTGATTGGGGGGGGGGGGGTCAGTATAACATGCACTGTTCTTTTGTAATGGGCATAATAGAACCTATAAAAGGGTTAACTAGTATGAGACTGCTTCCATATCGATCTGCGGGTGCAGTGCACATGTGGCTTTCCTGCAGGTTGGCCAACTCAGCCATAGACTTCTATATTATATCCTGCGGGTATAGTGTGCTTTCAGAAAGTGCATCACACCCGCAAGATATGATAGAACTCAATGGCAAAGCACAGGTGCAATGCAGGTAAATCACAGCACATCAGTGTGAAGGCCCTATAGGGGGCTCAGGACAGCAAATTTGGGAGGCGGTAAAACCCCATAGTTGAGATGTTTTTACTACTGGTGTAGTGACAGGGGTCTCAATGGGATACCACCCTATGCTGCAGGGGGCCCATGTGGCTCCCTGTCACATTCTGTCTTACACTTGGACAGGAAGGATGGCATATACAGGAACTGATCCTCTCCGTTTTCCTCCTGCACCTGCCAAAAGCCAGCTTCTCCTCCTCTCGCTGCTGTTGGCATTTAGAGGCTGCAGGAAAGAAAAAAAAATGCATTATGCTATTCAAAATAAAAGTCCAAAATTCTGAACCATTTCATTGTGGCCCACGAGCGGTTACCAATCACTTAAGTGCCCCACACTATTTGAAAGGCTGAGCACCCCAGGTTTAGACACCCCCCCCCCCCACCCCCCACACACACAAAAAAATAATAATTGTTTATTTTTAAACTCACCTATCATGCCTAATAAACTCTACATCATGTCCTTGGTGACATTTCTTAATGCAGTTCACACAGATGGCATTGCGGTCTGTTGTGTTGCAGGTGTGACATCTAATAAAGCAAGAAGATCATTCTGTTCAATCAATTCAGTGTTACTGCAGTTCAGCATCACAACGATTCTCTAAAACATATTCAAAGCCCCTAACGTGCTTGGTGAGTACAATGGTTCCTTTAAAATCGGTGGTGGTGAACCTATAGCACCCATGCCGCAGTGGACACGCAGAACCCTCAGGTCACCCCAGCAGCTAACCATGGGATAACAGAGCACATAGGGGCCATGCGAATGCTCAGAAAGGACTCACTAGTCGCAACTCGTGAGCTTTCGTATGGCCGGTCAGTGCGCTGCCAAGGAGAGATAAGGAGATATATATATATAAATATAAATAATTGGACTGGCTGTGAGTTTTAATACATTTCTTTTTATTAACACAAGATTTTAGCTTTGTGCTGGTGGTCAGTGAAACTTTGCCCCCCTTGCGCTGGTGGCCAGTGGAAGCTGTTGTGTTTTTTTTTCAAGACAAAAGATGTTAATGTATGGGGTTGTTTTTCTAAACTAAACCCTCAGTATTCAGGTTTTATATACAGGCAGTGTTTGCACTTTGCGATAAAGGAGTGGGTTTTAGTTTGGGCACTCAGTCTCTATACAGTTTGCCATCACTGCTTTAGACCATACATTCAGAATTGGTTCCTCCAGCGCTTGCTAGGGGTTTGAGCTCTGCTCGACTAACCTCCCATCTAATGGCACCTGCCTTTTTCCAGGTGCAGTGGTTCTCAACCTGTGGGTCGCAACCCTTTGGGGGTCAAACGACCCTTTCACAGGGGTCCCCTAAGACCATCAGAAAACACATTTCCGATGTGTAAAAAAGCAGCTACTGTGTTGAAAGCAGCAGTATTGGAGGTAAAACGACACTCATGAATTATAATTACTGGGTAAATAATTTTATGGTTGGGGGGTCACCACAACATGAGGAACTGTATTAAAGGGTCACGGCATTAGGAAGGTTGAGAGCCACTGTTCTAGGGTAAAAAGCAACTTGGTTGAGCCAGTGGCATGACACCAATGATCGCTGAGAGAATGACATTCTCGCTCGCGCCCCCCCCAAACTGGTTTTTGAAGGGGTTCTGAAGATCTCAAAATTGTTAGGATAAAAATGTTGAGAGAAAGCTTTAGATATATCAGACCTAGGCAGCACATTGCACAGTAATCTGACAATTTAAAATCCTGATGTGTTCTAGTTGTCAATCACGGCACGGTTTTTGAGTCTCTTCCATTCATCTATTTATACAGCGTGTAGTTGTGTCTACATACTGCAGCAATGGCACTGGTGCAAAACTGAATGAAACACCGCCTGATGCAGCGCAAAATAAGGTCGTGTACAGTGCATGACCGCATTGCCTCTGAGAAACGATTTTTGGTATATTAAGGGATGGATGAGATTTTTAGAAGGGGTAAATACAATTGCTCTGAAAGGGATGGTGATTGGTGTAAAAGATGAAAGTACCAACACTTTTTTTTATACAGTACTGTACAATATCACGGCACAATATAAAATAGGGGAAGGCAGCAAAGTCAAGTCTAAAAAGGCACAAGAAGTCTTCAGCTGGACTGCTTTTGGGTGTCCCAAAATGCTAAAGGTAGGGATGCACAGAAATGTTGGCCGCTCAAACATATCAGCTGAAAATAGCCCTATCGGCATTTTGCTGATAAGAGAAAAATGTAGCTGATACAAGGGACTGTGTACTGCAGACGTGGGGCGCTGTATGGCGGTGCCGGTTTTTTAAATTTAATTACCAGCTTTTTTTTTTTTCTTTCTTCGCTATAGCTCAGAGAATGAGCTGTCACTCTTCCCAGGTGCTAAATGAAACAAAGGGACGAGGTCACTGGGTAATGTCATTGGATGACCCCGCCCCTTTGTTTCCTTTAGCCCCCCTCTCGTATGACAGCTCCTTCTCTGAGCTATAGTGAAGAAAAACCGGCAGTGACTTAGCAACAGCCAGTGAGGGAGACTCTCTGTATACACTGCTCCTCTCCTAGCCGCCCCCCACTCTGTACTAGAACACCCCTATACTCTGTGCACAGGGCACCCCTGAAACTGCACTCTATACATAGCACACTCCTATACTTGGTGCATAGGGCACCCCTGGAACTGCACTCTTTAACTCAAAGTGTAATCTTGAAACCTGCACTCCGTACATAGCGCACCCCAGATACAACCATCCCTTTGAGGCCAATATACTGTTGATGCAGCCCGTAATGAAATGGAGTTTCAATTCTTTGGTTACTGCCTGTTACCGGCCAGGTGAAGCAGCCAATTAAACTGATCTGCATTTGGAGGGCAGAGGAGAGATCTGGGGTCTAATAGACACCAGATCACTCAATAAAGAGTACCTGTTACTGACCATGCCATCACAAGGGGTGCTGTTCATGTATGTGAGAATGGTCAAATGGCCCGGGGGATCAAGTGGTTAAAATAAAATATAAAATGGATGGATCACCAGGTGCAAATAAACGGGAAAAAAAATAGAGCAGCCACCACAGCCTAGAATTGGTGAGCTGCAATTGAATACATTTTTGTTTTTGGATTTAACTTGGCTTTAAGCTCAGGGTATGAAGCAAGGTTAGCAAGCAGGAGCAGCATCAGGAAGATGCTTCCTCGATTCTGTATGCTTGGAAGACCATGAAACTCCATCCCAGTGGATGTTGTCAGTACCCAGTCCCACAGTGTTAACCCCTTTTTCAAGAAACAAATGGTGGCATTTAAAAGCCCAGCGACCTATGCAAATGAGGTAGCCCCAGGTGCACGGCTTGAACAGCCTACTTGTGCAGCAAGTCCTCAGAGACAGGGCAAACACTGAGGCAATGCCAGAGGCCCTGGACCTGAAAAGTGCTCTGCGGCTACCTTATCAGAAAATGGGTCTGGAAATTGCATTACGTGGAACCCAGTGCCGAAAGATCACCAGCAGACTATCCCCGCAACATCCAGTCCAGTGTGGTCTGAGCATTAGCTCAGCCTGCAGTGACTGGTCATTCTCACACTGCCCAAAGTGTGGAAAACCACTCACTCCTGGAGTTCTCATTCCATTACAGGGTCTGGGAATGGCAAGATTTACCTGTAGAAATCGTGCATTGGGTAGCTGGTATAACTTGAAATCTTGTACAGACACTGGCCTCTAGTGACTGCTTTTTCTATAGCATCTTGATTGTTCATTATTTTGTTATCTGAAAGAATATTGTGAAATACAATTAATTTACGACACTAGAAAAGTCCATGTTCAGCCATCCGAGACACATTTTTTCAGAGAAAAAAAAAAAAAAAAATGTAGCCGAGAGAGTGAGAACCAGAGACAACACACAGACTTAAAGTGGGACTTTGAAACTTCACCCTAAACGGGATGTTCTGCTTGGGGGGGACCCGTTCCCACGACCGCTGGAATCACTTCCACTGAAAGTTACCCCCCCCCCCCAAAACCTTTTGAGACACGTCACAAGTTCCAAGAGGCTGCGGGACCATTCACAGAGCACAGTGCAACTTGCACTTGCATAGTGGGAAGCTGCAAGCGGTCACAGCCGGCTTTCAACACTAGACATGCCGGTGCTGGGGACCCACAGGCTGGTGAAGAACAGGCTTGGGTGAGGACAGCGCTGGATTCCTGGACAGGTAAGTGTCCTTATAGTAAAAGTCAGCAGCTATAGCATTTGTAGCTTTTTTTTTTTTTTTAACAGACTGTAGAACCTTTTTAAGCATCTGTAAGATATTAGAAAAACTATAATTTATGTGCATTTTTGGAACAGCTTTCCTATCATATTGCTGTGTCTGATTACGCCGTTACCAGGCATTTGAAGCCAGGGAAAGGATACCTAGAAAGACCACTATTTGTTCAATTACATAATATGAATGCATTGCAAAATATCCCTACCAACAGGGAACCTATGTATACAGATAAGACACAGCATTTCTTTATTGCTACCAACAGGTCTTTCACATAAGTCACTTTAGATTACAAACCATTCTGGACCCATCTCAGTCTGACAGATAAAATGAGAATGTACAGTGGATATAAAAGGTCTACACACACCCCTAGGATTCTGTGATGTAAAAAAATTAGACAAAGATAAATAATTTTAGAACTTTTTCCACCTTTAATGTGACCTATAAACTGTACAACTCAATTGAAAAACAAACTGAAATCTTTTAGGGGGGGGGGGGCAGAAGAAAACATAAAAAACTAAAATGTGGCTGCAGTGTGCACACCCTCTTATAACTGGGGATGTAGCTGTGTTCAGAATGAAGCAATCACATTCAAAATCATGTAAAATAGGAGTCAACCATTCTCCTAAAATTTAGCAATCCCACCTCCCCACAACCCCCCCCCCCCCTCACTCAAACCCCCTAATAAGTTACCCAGGTCCATTTAGCTCTTCCCTTCTCTTTCCAACTTTCCATTCTATACCTATGATCTTTCTCCTTGACCCTCACTTCCAACTCTCCCTTTTTCTTACTATTATTCCTTTCCCTCCAGCCTTTCTTTTCCCTTCTCCTTATTCATGCTATTGCCTTACAGATCATTCCCTTTATTCTCCAACTTCAAATCAGATCCCTGGACCTTCCATTACTTCGATATATTTTCCAGATGCCTTGAAGTCATATCTTCCCCAATCCTTCCTAAATTTGTTCATATTACCTTCGTCTATAGTATAGTTCCTCCATCCTATTTATATATTCCACCCTGTCTAACCAGACCCTCGTTGTTGGAGGCTCCTGTGACCACCAGAATTTTGAAATAAGCCCTTTAGCCGCACTGATTAGGTGGTACAATATACTGTTTTTATACTGCTTTGCTGATGCTTCTGTCCTATAAAACAAACACCACCCACGGATCCTTCTGTATAGTTGTCCCCAGTATCTCTTGTATGAACTGGATGACATCTTGCCAAAACACCTGTATTTTTGGACACTCCCACCATATATGTGCCATTGTTCCCTTAATTCCACATCCCCTCCAACATAACAGTGAGACCTCTATTCATTGTTTATGTACAACATTCGGTGTCAAATACCACCTCGTTAAACATTTATAATTCATTTCAACTGTGTTCATATTAATCGCCCCTTGTGTTAATTTAAACATTTTACTTTTCTGTGATTCATTCATTTTTGTTCCCAGTTCCCTTACCCAGTTCTCTAAGAACAGCAGAGGACCCGCTCCCCCAATTCAACAAGAATCTTATATATCCCAGAAGTAGCATGCCTTGGCGCCATCCTGGAAACCAGCATCTTTTCAAACGGGAGCATGTCCTTCGCCATCCTCAGTGGTTGGGGCAACTTCGCAACAAAAGGTTTTAACTGACAATATCCCATTTACCTTCACTGCTGCGGATGGACCATTATAAAGCTCCTTTATCCAACTCATCATCTTAGTCCCTATTCCCAAGGCCTCTAGAGTATCTATCATAAACCCCCAATCTACCCAAATGCTTTTTCGGCATCGATCAACAATAAAGTTGTTGACAGCTTTTCTCAAGAAGCAATGTTCTCCAACCATCATCCCTCTCCTTCCCTTCCTGGGACAAAACCCACCTGATCCGAATGTATCCATTCCGGCATCAACTCTCTTAACCTCGTAGCTAGCACCTTCGCGAATGGTTTTTGTGTCTGTATTTAGTAGTGATATAGGTCTATAGCTGACACATTGTAAACTATCTTTTCCTTCTTTTAACATGATAGTTATATGCGCTTGCAGCGATTCTGCTCTTATTCCCATTCCCTCTCCTAAGGCGTTCATATATATGCAAAGTTTAGGGACCAGCAAGTCTCCAAACTTTTTGTAATAACCCACCGTCATCGGGTCCTGGACTTTTCCCTCCTACTGTATTCTTCAGGGCCATTTTAATTTCCTCTTGGGATATCCCTTGTTCTAACAATACTAATTTTTAATTTGATATTTTTGGGAGGTCTGCCGCATTTAAAAATTCTTCTCGATTCCTCTTTTTTTCTCTGAAACTTTCGTGTTCCTAGGTTTTACATCATAGGACCTACTATAAAATTTTTGGAACGTTTCAGCAATATCAGTGGTGGAATATACCAGATCTCCTTTTTCATCTTTAAATTGTTTTCAATATAATACTTTGATTTCTTTTTTCATCAAATATTTTCCTGGCTTATTCCCCCACTGGTATCTTTCATTTGAAACCCTATTAAAGATCTTCCTTGACCCCTGTTCCAGTAGGTCTTAACTCCTCTTAAGTATAATCTTCGAATAAACCTCAGTTATGTCTCTTTTTATGTGCCTGTTCTAACCTATATAGCTCATCCATCACCTCCTTAAATTTTGCCTTCCCATTCTTTTTTTTTTTTTTGTAGTTCCTGCAGCTATCAAGATTCCCCTCATGTACGCCTTATGTGCTTCCCAAATGGTGGCCACAGAGACTTCCCTGGTTTCATTCAGCAGAAAAAAAATTGTTCTATCTCTTCCCTTAACCTCCTCTCTACTTCAGGGTTCTGTATAAGCATCTCATTCAATCTTCACATTGCCCTTTTGTTCCCTTCTCCTCCTACCTTTATGTCTATCTAGGGCCATGCTCCTGTCACGGCGAGACTAACTTCTATATTGGATTTAACCAATGAATCCAATTGTCTATGCTGATCATAATATAATCCAACCGTGAGTAAGATCTATGCGCAAGGGAGAAGAAGGTATAATCTCTTTTATCCTCCATGACTTTGATATAACCTCTTTTTCAACATTAATTTTTTTTTCCTCCTCCTCTGCGCGTTCGAGGACATATCCATCCATGGATCAAGACAAAAATTTAAAATATCCTGCCAAAACCAGAGTTCCCCTTTTAAACTCTGCAACTTTCCCCAACACTTCATACAAAAAAAACCTATGGATTTTGATTCGGGCAATAAATATTAACCAAGGTATAACTTTGTCCCCACATTTTCCCTCTTAAACATAGAAATCGTCCCTCTGGGTTCACCAATCTCTCCTCCACATCAAAGCCAGCGTTTGAGAACCTGATCGCTACACCTTTATTATTATTATTATTATTATTATTACTACGAGTTTATATAGCGCCAAAGGGTTTGCTCAGCGCTGTACAATAGGGGGGGACAATACATGGCACAGTACAACAAAGACAGACAGCGTACGAGGGGTAAGAGGGCCCTACTCTTACGAGCTTACAATCTAGGAGGGAGGGGGTAAAGGTACAGTAGGAAGTGGCTGGGGGGGATGAAGTGGTAGGAGGAATGAGGGAGGATGGCCGTTAGGTGAGGGTGGGGTAGGCTTCCCTGAAGAGATGGGTTTTGAGGGAGCGCCTGAATGTGAATAGAGAAGGCGACAGTCTGATGGATTGGGGCAGTGAGTTCCAGAGGATGGGGGAGGACCTGGAGAAGTCCTGCAGTCGTGCATGGGAGGAGGAGACCAGGGAGCAGGATAGAAGGAGGTCCTGTGAGGAGCGAAGGGTACGGGTAGGGTGGTACCTGGTGATCAGATTGGTGAGGTAGTCAGGGGCAGTGTTGTGAACGGCTTTGTAGGTCAGGGTAAGGAGTTTAAATTTGATGCGTTGGGCAATCGGGAGCCAGTGGAGGGAGAGGCAGAGGGGGGTGGCAGAGGTGGAGCGGGTGGTAAGGTGGATGAGTCTGGCAGCTGAGTTCAGGATGGTCTGGAGCGGGGAGAGCCTGCACTTGGGTAGGCCAGTGAGGAGGGAGTTGCAGTAGTCAAGGCGTGAGATGATGAGGGAGTGTACTAGAAGTTTGGTGGTGTCTGGGGTGAGGAAGGAGCGGATCTTGGCAATGTTGCGAAGATGGAGCCTGCATGTGTTTGTGAGTGATTTGACATGCGGTTGGAGGGAGAGGTTCGCGTCAAGAATGACGCCAAGGACTTTGGCTTGCGGGGCGGAAGTGATAGTGGAGTTGTTGGTGATGATGGATAGGATGGGGGGGGGGGGGGGTGTGGGCAGGGGGAAAGACGAGAAGCTCGGTTTTGGAGAGGTTAATCTTGAGGAAATGTAGCGACATCCAGTCTGAGATGTCATTTAGGAGGTGAGTGATGCGGGCGGAGATAGTGGGGGTGAGGTGAGGGGGGGTGGAGAGGTAGATTTGGGTGTCGTCAGCATAGAGGTGATAGTTGAAGCCGTGAGATTGTATGAGTTTGCCCAGGGAGGAGGTGTAGATGGAGAAGAGAAGGGGTCCAAGGACAGAGCCTTGGGGGACC